TCATTCAACATATGCAAATCGATAAATGTAATATACCATATTACCAGAACCAAGGGCAAAAACCACAGGATCATCTGAACAGATGCAGGAAAAGCATCTGACGAAGTCCAACACCCATTCATTATTTGAAACACTGAAAATTGAAATAGATGATTTTTATCTCAATCTGATAAAACCCATCTATGACAAACCAATAGCCAACATCATACTAAACAGACAAAAAACCAAAAGCTTTCACTCTAAAATCAGGAACAAGGCAAGGATGTCCACTGTCAACACTCTTTTTCAATATAGTTCTGGAAATACTAGCCAGAGCAATTAGACAAGAGAAAGAAATAAAAGGAATAAAGATAGGAAAAGAAGTTAAATTATCATTATTTGCAGATGACATGATACTCCACCAAGAGATTTCTAGATTTAATAACATATTCATTTGCATAGCTGGATACAAAGTCAATACTCAAAAATCAATAGTTTTCCTGTACACAAGTAAGAAACTCACTGAGAGAGAAATTAGGGAAACCATACCTTTTACAATAACATCAAAAAAATTGAAATACCTAGGGATCAGTCTAACAAAGGAAGTAAAGGATCTCTCCATTGAAAACTACAGTACTCTGAAAGAGGAGATTGAAGAGGCTATCAGAAAATAGAAAGATATCCCTTGTTCTTGGATAGGAAGAATTAATATAGTGAAAATGGCCATACTTCCAAAATTGCTATACAGATTTAATGCAATCCCAATCAAAATTCAACAGTATAGCACACAAAATTAGAGAAAACAATCCTAAAATTCATTTGGAACCAGAAGAGACCTAGAATAGCAAAGGCAATTCTGGGCAACAGGGGCAAGGCAGGGGGCATCACAACCCCTCACTTGAAATTATACTACAAAGCTACTGTGATAAAATTAGCATGGTACTTGAAAAAAATTTTTTTAAAGACCTGAAAATCAGTGGAACAGACTAGAAGATGCAGGAACAACTCTAGACATACTCAGCCACCTTATCTGTGACAAAAGCGCCAAATACATTCACTAAAAAAAAGAACACCTTTTTAATAAAGGGTGCTGGAAAAATTGGCTTTCTACATGCTGAAGATTAAAATTAGACCCGTATCTTTCACTATGCACTAAACTAAAATCAAAATGGGTCAAAGACCTAAATATTAAAACAGAAACACTAAATCTGCTGGAAGATAAAATAGGCAGGACTCTTGAAGACATTGGTGTAAGCAAAGACTTTAATCAACAAAATCCAGACCACAGGGAAGTAATGCAAAGAATCAACAACTGGGATCTTATTTTGTTAAAAAGCTTTTGCACAGCAAGAGAAATCACCAACAGAGTAAAAAGACAACCCACAGTGTGGGAAAAAAAATTTGCCAGCTCTTCCCCTGACAAAGGAGTACTTTAGAATACATAAAGAACTGAAAAAAAAATCAGACTCCAAAAATTTAAAGACCCAATCCAAAAATGGGCATCTGAAATGAATAGACACTTCTCTGAGGAGGAAGTAGAAACAGCAAATAAATTCATGAAAACATGTTCAACATCACTGGTCATTCAAGAATTGCAAATTAAAATGACACTGACATTCCGTCTCACTCCAAAAAGGCTATCATCCAGAAATTAGCCAGCAACAAATGCCAGCAGGCCTGTGGGGAAAAAGGAAGTCTTCTCCATTGTCGGTGGGAATGTTGACTGGTGCAACAACTGTGGAAATCAGTGTGGAGCTTCCTCAAAAAACTAGAACAACAGGTTCCTCAGCTATTCTTCTTCTTGCTACCTTCCTGAGAGAATTAAAAATATCATATCACACACTCATATTTATAGTGGCATAGTTTGTAATAACCAAATCTTGGAAACAGCCCAAATACCCATCAACTGATGAATGGATAAAGAATAGGAGGGGTTTTTTTTAAATATAATGTAGTACTACTCTGTCATAAAGAAGGATAAGCTTGAGACATTTCTAGCTAACAGACAGACCTAGAGGCCATACTCTTCAGTGAAATAAACCATACATACATGCATAAATATCACGTTATCTCTCTGGTATAAGAAACTGAAAGTGTAAATAAGGACCAGATGTATAACAGATACTGTGAAATAGGAAGAAAATGTCCAAATTGGAAGGAGAACTACAGAGTGGGGAGGGAGAAGGAAAGAAAGGGGAAAGAAAAAAATAACAAGAAAAGCAGGAGAAAATGGAAACAAAGCTTTTGTAAATAGGGAGGGGAGGAGAGGTTCAAGGGAGGATGGAAGAATGGGGAAAAAAGAATCAAGTTATATCATGTGCAGGTGCAAATTCCCCGTGATGAATGTAATCATTATATATACCTAAAATGTACCAATAAATGTAATTAAAAGCATCGTAAGCATAGATGATTCTGCGTATGAAGACCTGACACCTTGCTTCCTGTAGCTCAAAACACATTCACTAAAGTAGTTTGGTGGCTGGTAAGCACAGCATGTGCAGACGTGTTAGAAATGATTTCACTGCTGGCCGTGGTGTGTAAAGGCTTGCCTTCTCCCACAGTGGTGCTGGCTTATAATCCAAGCACTCTGGGAAGCTCAGGCAAGAGGATCACAAGTGTGAGCCCAGCTTGCGCAGTTTAATGACTTAATAAGACCCTGTCTCAAAATAAAAAAAAAAAAATTTTAGAGGCTGGGGATGTCTCTCAATCTGAAGGTCCCGGGTTCAATTCCCAGTATTGGAGCAGGGGTGGGGTGCACTTGCCTTTTGTCTCTTGTTTTTTGGTTTTTTGTTTTTGTTTTTGTTTTATTTTTGTCTTTTTGAGACAGAGTCTCCCTATGCAGTTCAGGCTGGCCTTGAGTTCACTTTGTAGCCCAGGCTGGTCTCGAACTCGCTATGATCCTCCTGCCTCAGCTCCCTAGTGCTGGTATTACAGGCGTCGCCACCACGCCTGGCTCTCGTGTTGTTTTACACTGCTACACAACTCTCATCTTCTCACGACTGTTTTGATCCCAGCTGACTGACCTGGGTTTCCTCTCTTTCCTGTCCCATGTTTTGCTATCCAGATGTATCGTGAAGATTACTGGAGAGATGGTGTTGTCTTTCCCTGCCGGCATCACCAGACACTTTGCCAACAACCCATCCCCAGCTGCCCTGACTTTCCGGGTGATAAATTTCAGCAGGTTAGAACATGTGCTGCCAAACCCCCAGCTTCTCTGCTGGTAAATATGACTTCGCATACATTTTTAGAGCTTTGGGTGGCTTAGCACTTTGTATTTGCGTGAAGGGCGTACCCTAGCACTGTAGCTAACAGAGTAGATTCAGGCATAAAACTTTAACCAGCCGTTAACGTTTCCATGGGTGACTGTGTGTGTGAGTAGCTGCCTATGTATAGTTTAATAGCCAACTAGTTAAACTGGTTAAAGAGGATTTAAAGTCATAAAACCTGTATTAGTGACAATTTATTCATTATGTTAATGATCAGTAGACAGTGCATAGGGATGGTGGGTGATGAACCAAAAAAATAGGAAATTCTTCCTGTTGTATTAGCACCTTTTTAAACTTAATAATGTTTGAATGGTAAGCGCCTCTTCACATGAGCTTGAAAATCTTTTCTGTGAAAGATAATTTCATTTGAACAGTAATTGTTTCGATGGAATTTTACATGTATAACGTCAAAGAATCTCAAGCATATTTGTTTAAATAAATATATTTTTTAACATTTTCTATTAAACCTGAAATGAGTCTCCAGTATACATTTATATATGCTCAGCCAGATATTTATACATACAGGACATTGAATAGATCAACTATGTCAAATTACTTCTCTGCAAACAGAAGTCATTCTTGATGTCCTCCTTTCTGGCAAGTCCTGATATTTCATCTAAAGATCTCCCTCTACAGTGGCCACTGTACTTTACTAAAACTTCACTTGTAAAGGGGCCACTGTCACTTTGCTGGACCACAGCAATTGCTCGCCTCCCTGAACCCAGTTTTGCCATGCTTGGCAATGTTTTTACAGCCAGGTGACCTTTCATGAGACCCCTCGGGATGTCTTTGGGTCACTAAGTTTGCTTTAAAAAATAATTCACTCTTTGAAGCAGTCATTTACCATCAATACTGATTAATAGAAATGGCTACTCACTGAGATTTACAGCAATATATGTATATTAATCTGTTAATAGAACACCATTTAAACTGTTTGTACTAAAGCCGTAATGCTGTGAATACTATAATTTTACCAGTTGTCAAGATGGACATAGAACTCAGACAGATACTTGCTAAGGTGTTTCTTTTGTAGATGATATTGGTTATGATGCTACTCAACTATCTTTCTTCCCAATTGAATAGCGATAACACACAAAACGATGCCAACACCAAGGAATTCTGGGTAAACATGCCAAACTTGATGACTCATCTAAAAAAAGTATCTGAACAAAAGCCCCAGGCCACCTATTATAATGTGGACATGCTCAAATATCAGGTAAGCCTATTTATGCGGTCAAGGTGTCTCTTTCACAGTACAAGTTTATATTCTATATGACCTCGTATTGCGTGAAAGTAAGTAAAGTAACATTCCTTTCAATATTATACAAAAGCTATAATTACAAGAAAAGAGAAGCTTGAAAGGACTATTTGAGGAATGGTGACAAGGGTATTCACACATATTCTTAGTTTAAACTTACAAGTGAAGTATTTTTATTTAAAAAGAGCAGAAATATGCCACAAAAAAATGAAGTTGCCAAAAATTATACCCACTAAAATTGTACTTTTACAATAGATCCCTGTCCTATTGCTAAGGCCATTAGTGTATTAGCTCTCCCGTTGCTGAGATGCTATAGTGACGCCCATGACTTAGAGGAGGAGGTGTACCCAGACACAGCCAACAGAACGCACCAATTCAGCACTAGCATCTGTTCACGAGCTCCCCAGTAACTCAGAAGTGCAGTCGTGTTTGAGATGTGCTGGTTTCTACTACAATCCAGCTTGCTGTATTAGTTTTTCAAGCACAAAACTAATAGAACATCTTTGATCACAAAATTACTACCCACTAACTATGGCCTAGGAGGGCAGGGAATGCACTCAGAGTACAGCACTTACCTAGAATGCACAAGGCCCTGGTTCCAGCCCACAAACCGTGACCCCAGGAATCAGGTGGCTGGAGTGAGTGAGGTACCGGGGTCCATGGAGCCTTATTTGAAACAGGCTTCTTTACTAGATCACTAATACTTTCAGGTAAGGACAACTGCGGACACAGAGAGTTCTCAAACACAATACTGTGTTGTACCAAACGTTCTCTTGATATTGAATTACTTCTTAACATTAAGTTATATTAGAACTGCTTTCTAGGACGATTGCACTAGAAAAACCCACATTGTTTACTTTGAATCATTTGAAATAAGAGGTGTTGGATTAGTGCTAGTGATAGTAAATCCTGATATGTGAGCCACTTTGGGTTAAGAAACACCTAGCAAACAAATACTGCTACTGAATTAGTGCTTAATAGAGATATGCAAATATATATTAACAAATATATACTTATATATAAATGTATATTAAGTAAACATGGAAACTAGTAGATGTGTATCTTCACTCTGACACTCCAGAGAATTTTGTTTATTTGGCTCAGTATATGACTCAGGTGTCTGCATTTTTTATATGTTCCCTGAGTGATTCTAAAACATTCTATGCTTTAAAAAAACATTTAATGTACTGTAAAGAAACGATTGACTGTGACCTACCCCTAGGATGGTACATTTTACAAAAATGCAAACAAATATAGCATATTTCCTATAAGAATGATATCATTTAAACTTTGGACATTATAGATAATATATAACTAAGGAACATAACGTGTCATACATTCATCACTTTATAATTAAAATATGATAGAACATGAATTTTAAAAATTTTCTCCCAAACTTGTTAGGTGGCTCTTGAAGCTTGTGAAAGAAATGAAAAGGAGTGAAAAGGGGAATCTCGCAGCGGAACTTTTCCCTGCACGACAGGTTAAATGTCAGGGTTCCCTTGTGCTTCTCGTGTCCAAGTGTGAAGATAAAATTGGGGTCATTTTCCTTCATGAATTCTAACTACAAGCACTGCATTTGCATTTACATTTTTATTTCAGATTTATTTGTATTTTTTTATTTGAAAGAGAAAGTAACAAAAACAAAGACATAAACAAAACAACATAAAAACAATAAAAATGATACAGAATTTCAAAACAAGGTGATAGGAAATGAACAATTGTTGTCATATTACATATTGTTATCTTCAGAGTGATTACTCAGATAACCAGGTCTAGGCATGTAAGATTCATCAAACAATTACACGATAGCTGTTCCTTTCAATAAACCCTTAGAACTTAGTAGTTACCTAAGCTAATTACCTTAGCTATCTTGTGTGTGTATATATACGTTTTTCCTTCATTCTTTTTTCTTTTTTTCCCTTTTACCTCACCCCAGCTGTTCTTCCTTTTTGAGCAGTTTCCTTCCCTTTCACAATGTCTATCTTTCAGATCTTACTTACTCTCTCAGGTTCTTATACTAGGGAGGCAATACGATGTTTACACATGTGGGTGTGATTTGTTTCACTTATGAGTATGGTTTCTAGTTGCATCCATTTATCTATAGAAGCCTCTAGTTTATCTTTCTTTATGGCTGAGTAATACTCCATTATATAAAAATACCACATCTTTTTTATCCATTCCTTGGTGGATGGATGTTTGGATTGTTTCCAAGATTTAGCTATGATGAATTGTGCTGCTATAAACATGGGTGCACATATATTGCTGTGATATGATGTTTTCAGTTCTTCTGGAAAAATATCCAGAAGGGAAATAGCTGGGTTGAATGGACCTCCAATCCCAGTTTACTGGGGAATCTCCAGACTGATTTCCACAGTGGTTGCACCAATCTACAGTCCCACCAACCATGGAGAAGGGTTCCGTTTTCCTCACAATCTCCTCCAGCATTTGTTATGGGTTGATTTCTTGATGGTAGCCATTCTTTCTGGGGTGAGAAGGAATCTCAGTGTTGTTATAATTTGCATTTTTCAAATGACTAATGATGTTGAACATTTTTTCATGTATTTATTTGCCATTTGTATTTCTTCATCTGAGAATTATGTATTCAACTCAGGTGCCCAATTTTAGATTGGGCCTTTGAATTTTGGGGGCCTTATTATTTTTCAATTCTTTATATGTTCTAGATAGGAGTTCTCTATCTGAGGGAGAGTTGGCTAAAAATTTTTCCCAATTTGTGGGTTTTCTGTTTACTCTGTTGGTGATTTCTTTTGATGTGCAAAAACTTCTCAATAAGATGAGATCCCAGTTGTTAATTCTTTGAAATATTTCCTGTGCAGTTTGGTTTTTGTTCATGAACTCTCTGCCTACCCCTATGTCATCAAGATTTTTACCTACTTTCTCTTCCAGTAGATTTAGTGTTTCTGTTTCATACTTAGATCTTTAATCCATTTTGACTTTAGTTTGGTGCATGGTGATAGATATGGATCTAGTTCTAGTCTTCGGCATGTGGAGAGCCAGTTTTTCCAGCATCATTTATTAAAGAGGCTGTCTTTCTTCCACTGAACTTGTTTGGCCCCTTTGTCAAAGATAAGGTAGCTGAGTGTGTTTGTGGTTATAGCTGCATCGTCTAGTCTGTTCCATTGATCCTCAGGTCTGTTTTGTTGCCAATAAGATGCTAATGTTATCACAATAGCTTTGTAGTATAATTTCAAGTCAGGGATTGTGATGCCTCCTGCCTTGCCTTTGTTGCCCAGAACTTATTTTGCTGTTTTGGGTCTCTTCTGGTTCCAGATGAATTTTAGGAATGTTTTTGCTAGATCTGTAACATATACTAATGGTATTTTGATAGGGATTGCATCAAATCAGATTTATTTTTAAATTGTGAGAACTTTTAAATCCTATGGAGTTTAGTTTGTGGGTTTGTTTTTAAGTGAGCCTAGAAAGTAGCTAATTCTTTGACAGCAGTATGAGCTTTGTGCAAACTATCAAGTGCAGGTGAGCCCTGAATTCAGTAGATTTCCTGAAGGCCCCTGACCTTGGGCATTTAATGGTCCAAACCCTCAGCTTCCTCAGCTGCAGACGAGGGTAATAACGGCATCTCCCTAGCTACATCCCAGGCTGCTGTAAGAGACAGTAGCCGAGTATATTGCCAAGCGCTGTGGGACGTGCAAGAAGCCCTAGTCCTGCCCTGATTTTTAAGTGTGCTCTGAAGAATCCCCTTTGTTAGTATTCAGTTGTTTTTCAGCAATGACAGCAGTTGGGAGTGGGGCACAACTAGCATTTGGGGCAGCTTCCCTGAAGTCTAGGCATGTGCACTTCTGGCCACCTCCCAGCAATGAGGAAAACCAAAAACTCCCCCTTGACCTCTGCCAAAGGCACCAGCGTGGGTAGAGGAAGTGTTGTGCTGAGTAGGCAGGACAGAAAATCATCAGTAAGGAAAGATGGAACACATCTGCAGAAAGGACTGTGCTTCTGACAGCATTTAAAGTTTAAAAGCCGTTGTAATGATCAGCTGGCTGTAGTTGGAATCAGAAGTCCTATCTCTCATCTTCTAAACAAACCCATTCCAGACTGGTTTCCACAGCAACCAGGCCCGCCTGGAGAGCGCATCCCGGGGGCGACTGTGTGCGGTCATCTCCTAGGGAGTGATGTGTGTTCTCCAAAACAAAAACATGAGCCCCATGCATAAAAATCCCAGGACAAACGCACCACTCACACAGTCCCTACGGTGTACATGAACATTTCAGAGCAGAACTTCTTAGAGGTCTATGCACCATTCAGTGAACAATCAAGAAATTATAACTGGATTGTTCCCTTATGTCTTCTCATAAGATGAAATTCGTTGATTCTCCTAACTTAGCTTTTCCTTGGCCTAACTCACTTGCAAACGGGTCGAACTGCAATGCAACACTTCCATGTAGAGGAGCTGGGTTCAAGTCCTCACCTTGGCAAATCACAAAGGAATAGAAAGAGCCTGTTGGTTTGTTGTGAAGAGCAAAAATGGCAAGCATACTACTAAGTGACATTTATTAAAACCTCAGTTCCTTGCTGGGTGTTAGGCTCTGTGAAGTTTGATCTCTTTCCATCTTCCTCGCCAGCCGGTGGGTAAAGATTATTGTTTCAATTCCCATTTGGCAGAGGAGGGAATACCTGAGGCTCAGAGGGCTTTGGTGGCCCGTCCAAGGCCACTCAGCGACCTCCTGTAGAAGACCCGGCTCTCTTTCTCCCATGGGCTCTTCCCCGAGCTCACTGGTAAATCACAAACACAAACATGAGAACACTGCGCTACTGAGACCACTCTTTTGGGAGACAACCGCAGCTCCTGGTTCCGTTGCAGATCAAAGGTCGCACCTTACGTGTCCTCTTTCCTGTCGTTTGACAAGGTGTCAGCACAGGGCATTCAGTCCACTCCCCTGAACCTGGCCGTGAACTGGCGGTGTGAACCTGCCAGCACTGACCTGCGCATCGACTACAAGTACAACTCAGACGCCATGGCCACTGCGGTGGCCCTCAATAACGTGCAGTTCCTGGTCCCTGTAGACGGCGGTGTGACCAAGCTCCAGGCTGTGCTCCCGCCAGCCGTGTGGTAAGAAGGGCTCCTCTGGGGATGGAACCAGGCTCTTCACACCGAGCTACCTCCCCACCCATTTGTGTGTTTTGTTCTGAGACAGGTTCTCATTATATCACTAAGTTGCGCAAGTTGGGCCCAAACTTGGGGGGCAAGGCTTCTTAACACGGGTGTTTCCATTGGGCTCGGCGGCGGCTTCTGTGAGCGGCTCCAGGCAGGAGGCAGAAACTACTGTAGCTGTTTTGTTTTTGTCCTTTTAAAAAATATTTTTAAATTTAATTAGCATGTTTCCAGTTCATAACAATCGCACGCATCTTGGGGAGTTGGACCACAGACATAACGTGTCTTCATTCCGTTCATCCCCTTCCCCCCTTCGAACCCCTGATCTCCTCCCATCGGAGAAAGATCAGTCTTCCTGTTTCCTATTAATCCACTTCTGTTGTGCTCCGTAATTTATTTATATTGTAGGATTCCCATACAAGAGAAACCATGTGATAGTGAAGCTCGTGTGTCTGATTTATTTCACTTCACATCACGGCCTCAAGGTGCAGCCTTCCTACAAATGACTCGAGTTTACCCTTTTTTAATTTTTAAATAGCAGTTAAACTTTTGCAGACTTATTTTTTAAAAAGTGGGCTTTATCTGGAAAAAATATAGAAAGCATCTAGGCAAGCCTTTGTCTGTTTTATTTTCAGGAATGCTGAACAACAAAGAATATTGTGGAAGATCCCTGATATCTCTCAGAAGTCAGAAAACGGAGGTGAGGGGGTGACAGGCTTGTTTTGTTTAATACGCAAAGCCAAAACTACTCATAGGTATCAGCCAGCTAGGAACCAAAATACATGCAGTACTAAAAACAAGCAGAGTACTTGATGACTCCACTTTTACATTTAGGTATTTCAACCAATGAAAGCAAAGAATCCTCCAATGACATCCTCGTCCCCTTTTCCTAGCAAGATTCACCCCGTGCAGGTGTCCCTTGGGCAGAGAAGAGCGATACTGTCTCCCTCTGCTCCCAGACCCCTGCGTAGAGTACATGTCATTCACTTCCCCCTGACATAACCTTAGGCTTGAAAGTACAGGGCCCTCCGTACGGCACACCCCCAAATTTTGAAGAATTGTTTTGCTGAATTACACTTTATCAGTGTGCAGAGAGAATTTCTCATGGTAGTCAATGATATATTTTCCTTATCACTATTTCATCCCTGAAGAATTTATTATGTCATAGCAAGTCCAATTCCGTGTGTTAAGTTTTAAATATAATTTTCAGAATTGTATCCGGAATGTCACATTGACCATCATGTTGCTATAATACTCTTTTTTTTTTTTTTTCTCCAGGGGTGGGTTCTCTTTTGGCAAGATTTCAGTTGTCCGAAGGTCCGAGCAAACCTTCCCCATTGGTAGTGCAGTTCACCAGCGAAGGAAGCACTCTCTCCGGCTGTGACATTGAACTTGTGGGAGCAGGGTATCGGTTTTCACTCATCAAAAAGAGGTTTGCTGCAGGTACCTGGCTATCTCGAAATTCATTTGCAAAAATAAGGTTGCCTTAGCTCCTCTTCCCTGAGAAGGTATAGGTTGTGGTTTTCAGATCATCTTCCCCTCCCTTACCTTAAAACTCCATCCCACTTAGAAGGCAGACCAGTTGTTGAATGAAGTGTAAATACAACAATGAACTTAAAATCAGAAATCAAGAATTCTCTGGCTACTTCTTCTGCTGAGCTGAGCGGCCATTCCCACTATGTAGATGTGTGTTTGAGCTCAATGCAGTAAATTCTACTTTCATTACCTTGGCAAAGAAGACGCATGCTCTTGGCTTTTGGATTTGTCTCCCAGCTGAAAACTAAGAAAAAGAGACGTACATGCAAAATTTATTACATGTTTAAGGCAAGCGGGTATTAGACACCTTGAAAACCTGTTCTCCAAGAGGCCTGTATGGATTTTAGATGTGGCCAGCTTAACTGAGACCTGGGAGGGTCTACGTTTCATTTCAATAACAATCATAAGCATCTAGGCCCCAGATCGGACTGTTTGCCCATGAAATAGATGTGGCCTGACACAGGTTTTATTTGGTACAAATGAGAGTTCCTTTTAATGGGGGTAGGAGGTTCCCCAGCAATAGGTTGATTATGTTCGTCAGTGATTGGTATAAATCCAGGGGAGGACTGTTTTGTTTAGCAGTGTTGGGAATCCAACTGGGCAGGCGCTGCACCACTCAGCTGTCTCCCCAGTGCCTAAATCTTGTTTTGCATGACTGCTATACTGACGCAGTCGTTAATCCTATCCCTCTGACTCTCGACAATGGCCCGAATTGGAAAATAAATTATTTGAGCATGCTTCCTACCATAACTTAGATTCTCAAATGCAAGAATTAATGTTCCAACATATTCTCAGCGAAACCCAAATCTCTACAAATGACTGATCTCCTGAAGTCCAAAAAGGCATCTGGTTGATGTGGAAAACAAAAATTAGTAACCTTTATGTATTTTATATTAGTATGATACCCTCAAGTACATAGTAGGTGGCTCTAAGGGGGAGGGTGGAGGAATGGAAATGTTATTTATACAATAACCACATGGTCAAGCTAGCAGATAAACTGTTGCTGTTTCCTTTGCAGGAAAGTACTTGGCAGATAACTAATAAAATCTTTTGCAAGGATTTGAAGGAGTCAAATAATGCGGAACTGCTGTATGACAGACAGGTTTAACTCTGGCTGAACGAGAACTGACTCAGATCTGCACTTGGGAGGGGTCCACCTGCGAGTCCGTCACTTCGGGCAACGCTGGCCTTCACGCAGTACCATGGTGGCTGGTCCTACAGTATTTACTTCTAGGTGTAATATTGTTAATGGTTTTAAAATGTAATTATTGTATTTGTAAATTGTACTCATTCCAGTAAGGCAGTTAGACACTTGAGTTTTAGCATTTTACTATTCCTGAAGCGGATGTAATTTAAACTGTGGTATGTAAATTTAATAGTAGTACTGTCTGAATGGCACAATGCGTCCAGAGGTACACTGCATTTTGTCAATACATAAAATTTAAATCTAATGTTGATAGCTGTCAGAAAGGGGGTGCCACATACGAAAAAGCTTAAATGGAACCAGGAAGAAAAAAATTGCTTTTCTTCAGTCTAGTATCTTTTACTCTAGCGCTAAATAAAAATTCAATCTTCGAATGTTTAGTGGGTTAAATTCAGAAACTATTTCAGAGAAAAAAATTCAAAGGTTACAGCATATTCAAAGGAAAGCATTAATTACCACTTTTTAAAAAGCTTTTTTTTCAAACTGCAAATTTCATAAAAATGCAAACTGTAAACAGGGCCTCTTATTTTTATAACTTATGTAAAAAAGGGAAAGCACTTCATATTTAAAGTTTAAGTATATTAAATTGTAATCAAGACGAAAGATGTTGAAGTCTTAACCACTTCCCCCTCTCTCTACAGTTTAGCAAATGTGGAGATTGCTGAATAATCAGTCAGACTGAAACCAAAATCATGATTTTAAGATTTCAAGACTTTCCATAATTGAACTGGTTAACAACCTGTGCACAATTATTCTGAACAGGTAGTCTCTCCCCTCCTGCACAGGAGAAAGATACCTCAAGTCTTGCTCTTTACCCACAGGAATAAAAACATCAAGAATGAGTATCTTAGGGGGGAAAAAGTACTTTTTAGTATCCTATTTCAATCCAGGAGAATTTTAATTGCCATCATTTATGTATCATTTAGGAAGGAACAAACACAGTTTAAAATTGAAATTCTATTCACGTTATTGTGCAATAAATTTCCTGTTGGATAATTAAGAGTCATTGTATAAAAATACAAATCTCTTGTCATTCTTGGGGAATGAAGACAAGTGTTATCTAAGTCATTTCATTGTTGCACTATACAGTAAACATTGCAATTCCTCAGTCTGGGATTAGAGGGAGAACAACTTCAGCTGCCCCAGGTGTAAAACCTTCCCCCGTCACCACCCGAAAGCATTCGTCTTCCTTAAGTGGTGGGGCTTATTTTAAATACAACCAGCTTCACTTCTAGATTGTGTTATTCAGTCACTAAAATTAAGCTGTCACGTCTATCATTCCTTGCTAAATTTCATCTTCTATTCACTCAAATTAGATAAAGGATCTTTAGTTCCTTTAAATTTTGGAACGAAGTTAAATTTTTTTAAGTCTTCCTTTTGAAATGAGATTGTGACAGGCGATTGTTTATAGTGGAACTTTTTAAATTAATATTTGTACTCTTTTGTCAGTGCTAGCAAGAGTTCATGCCGGAAGGTAGGTTTTACCTTCCAGGGAGTCTTACGAGTCACACTCTTAATCGGCCCCCACAGCGCTCTGGTGCTGAAGTGTTTTCAACAGATTAATTAATATACTCATTTTAAGTAGAGACATTCAATTTGGTTTTGAAACCAAAATAGAAAATTGCAAAAAATAATTTACATCCCATGAAACCTGTGGAAATTTAGAACACAAAAACCAATAAAGGGTAAACAGCAGAAAACTGAGAATTATCCAGCATATGAATATAAACATGTGTTTTTAAGTAATCAGTTCATGAAAACATATTGAATACTAACAAAGCATATTAAAAATGTGTAAATATGACTGGTTCTCATGTCTTTCTCTTGATATATTATTTTATGTAGATTTAGATTGAATTGGTAGTTAAACACAAAGATGTTTTTTTTTTTTTTTTTTCAAAAAAATTTGTTAATATAAAAATGTAATTAAAAGTAGGTTTCAATAGTCTCTAACACTACTCAAATGTTTCCGGGAACTAAATTCAAAGCTATGAATAAATCCTATGAGCCCACAGCTGGTCTTTCTGAAACAGAATAGGAGTCAGTGATGTCGAGAAGTTCTAAAGCTGATAACCAGAACCTTACTAGGGAAGGCGTCCCTCCTGCTTGCTGAAAGTGGGTCATATCGTAACACATTGAGCTCGGCGGGAGAAGTTAGACCTGGAAGTTTTGTTTTGTTTTTAATTTTTGGGTTATAATCCCCTACTAAACTTATAGCTGCAGTGCTGTAGAATAAGAATTCATGCTCTGAAAAACTAGCCTTGTCCACGCCAGGGTATCATTTATCAAAAACCTGTCAAGTTAGGGTCCCTCTCAGGCCTGTGCTGAACAGGGCAGGCTACTCCAGATTCGGGTGATTCTCAGTGTCGGGGTTTAAAATAGAAAGAAACGATTCCAGATCACAAGAACATTATTTCCTGCAAATTATAACTTTAAAAAGCTCTGCTCTAGAAAGATATAAATGATATGACTTTATTTTGGCAACATGGAAAGTATGTTTTTCTCTTCAAATAAAGCCCATATTTTCATGAAATTTTTTAAAAGAAATTATTATCCATGACATGAATTTTATCATAATTGGAATTTACAATTACTAGGAATTAAGCTTTTAATTTTTTTAAAAAAGATCTATTTTCTACATATACAGTCCGCATGAAAATTCACTGTGTAGTAGTTGAGAATAGTTCACCTCTTAAGAAAGAATGACCGTATTTCAAGTGGTTTTGATTGAATATATGTATGAGAATATCTCAGGAGGCAAAATACACATATTCTTTTTTGTTTATATATATATATAGCTATATTTTTACTTGATCTCAATCTGCAAAGTACTTGAGCCATAATTACACACATTTCCATTTTAAACTCTGCTTTTCAAAGAAGCAGATAACTGTATCGCTCTACCCCTGACTGCTGCCGTGTGACCTTGCATAGTCACTGGCTTTCCTAGTCTCCCTCCTTACAGTGAGGAGGTGGGACTTCTAGCAGTTTTCAATCTTTTTGTAACAGGACTTTTTATAAATAAAATTGTACATACAATCCTGGAAGGCAAAACATCTCCAAGTAGTGAAGGAGCTTCTCTAGCAGTCTAATTTAAACACAATCACAACACGTAAAGGAGCTGTGAAGTGTCTTCCAACTCTGAAGTTTCACAACTATACTTCACTCAGATAAACACCTCCTAAGGCTTCATAAATAAATGTGTACACAAATCACAGTAATTGGCTAATACACAATAAACATGGCCATATACTTGAGTGGTTTTTTTTATTTGGTTTGTTTTTTTTTTTTTTTTTTGACAGAGAGAGAGAGAGGATCTCACTATATAGGTCAGGCTGGCCTGGACTATGTAGCCCAGGCTGGCCTTGGACTTGTGGCGATCCTCCTGCCTCAGCCTCCAGAGTGCTAGGATGACAGGCATACACCACCACACCCAGCCAGCTCATTTAATTCTTATAAAAATCCCAAAACTCTAAGAGCATAAGGACTACTTTTAATTCCTACTTACCTATAATGACATTGAGGCTCAGGCAGATTAATTAATTTGTCCCAAGTGACACGACAGCCAGTTGCCTGATTATCTTGACAGAAAAGAGTGATCTGTTTTGCTCTGTCTGTTCTGGGAAAAGCTCTATTTCATTTGACTGTCTTTATTCCATTTGAATGCCAAAGTGAAGGGCAAGATATGACACTGAAATGAGAATAATTCCAATAACAAAACTGTCAAAAAGCACCAGCGTTCCTCAAAGTATGATACGCAGACCACTTATATTCTCAAATAAGAGCCAATGATTTGGAGCAAGTCATGACTCTGTCCCTGGAGCCTAAAATGCAGTGGGTGTCAATCAATTTTATTAAACTAATTGGTCTCTAGGGATGGGACTTGGGAATATGATATTGATAAGCAGCCCAAATTTGAGAATCATCACCCTTATAAATGTCTAAGGTCTTTTTTAGTTCTGACATTGTATCAGATTTGAAGCATTAAATTCTAATTTGAATATCATTTTTATACTTTCATTCTGTCTACTGAACTTCCTTCAATCTTATAAGAATAAACAAAGATGGGACTCTTCCTCCCTAGGAAAATCCTCTTCTTTCTGCACTTTTTCTGTTCTCTGCTTCCCACAGTAGCCTGAAATGTGCTCTCTGGTTTGCATTTGCCTGTCCTTTCTTTAGTGTCCTCAAAGACCTGAAATAGTGGAAGGAACGCTGCACACTGTCCCTCATTCCCACTGTAAAGCTCTTTCTCTGAAAGGGACACCCAGACCTTGAACTTGTGAGCTGACTCCACTTATTTTGTAGGTTCTTGACCTTACAGGAACCTACTGACCTCACTCCAAGAGTTATCACCATCATTTTTGCATTTTTTTCAGAAAGAACCATGGGTTGTTGATTAAAGTTGAGAGATACACTACAACATGCAGACATCTACTGAAGGGATGAGTAGGTGTGTCTTCCTCTAAGCTTTTTCTTCCCTCAAAGAGTGCACATTTGAGCAAAATCCAAATCAGTCTAAATGGACTTATTTTGCCACTCACTGGATGTTCTGATAAGCAGTTTTGTAAAGAAGGAAAGCAGGATTTTTTAGTAACATTAAAATTGGGGTGGACTCTAAATATAGCTTTAAATCTTAATAGGTTTCCATGATATGACTCAGATTAAATTACTCAGACAAATGAGCAAATCAGTCCAAGTTACATTAGTGATAGAGCCTGAGTGACGGGCCAAGTCCCATCCTTCACTCAGGACGCTGCTGTCTGGAGGATTTATTGTATTTTCTCTGCTCTCTTAGGCCATTTTTAATGTTAAATTTCAGCCATGGAATATACAGAGGAAAATGAGATAGGAGTAAAGTGCTTAAAGTCCCCAAATAGATAAACAAATGACAAAACGCCGTTCTCCTGTTGTTCAGATGTTCTTCCATCCGCAGGATGGCAGGGTTGGATTTGAAATATCACACTGAAAACTAAGCCTCCTTGCTTGTGCAGTGTCACATTTTGGTATCTACTGAGTTGACCATGGGGAGACTTTGATTGATTGGCCCTCATGTTTAATATCTGATTTCTGTCCTAATGGGGTAACCTTACAAGAAAAACTCCACCTGGCTGATATTCACTATGGGTAACTGATTCTCTACTTTTGAAGTTATTTTTCCTTTGACTCATAGTATTTCTGATTTCCTTTTTCTATCCTCAAAGCAAGGCATCACCTGTTTTAAGTACATCTTCCACCTCATAAGAAAAGATGTTCCAATGAAAAGTAAATATATTTTAAGTGTCCCTTACTGGTATAAAGAAAATAAAGTTTATTGAGCTGTATTCAGCAATAGCACAATGTTTTCCGGTCCTGCTCAGGTCCACTAACTTGGGTAAATAATCAAATATTCAGTCTGAGAACAAACAGTTCTGTGCTGTCCTTCTCATTCTTGGACACTGGCAGGAAGTGTTCATGAGTTCATGAAACTGAGGAAGGGTACTCGATCAGGAAGCCTTCTTCCTAAGCACCCCTTGAAAACATTTTGGAAAATTTTCCTTTTAACACTAATTTATACATCTTTCAAGAACCTCAAATAATAGAATCAAGAATGCTTTGCAGAGATGTCACTAAGATTTTTTTTTTTACCTTTATGGGAATGCCTTCCCTTTCACATGAATTGCTGTTTTCACTGGTACCCCTTAGTGAATTTAACTTTATCATCTAAAATATGAAAGAAATGAATCCTTTTTAGTTTTTTAGTATTACCTTTACACCCCTGCCCGGCACACCTTGCCCTGTGCTTGTTAAAGATGTTCAAATTCTTGGCAGTCTGGAATGAATACTAGTATACAATCTTTGGTAATGGTTTGCTAAATAGCTTTAAGAAACTGCATCATTACGGATGAATGTAGGCAGTATTTTTACATAAGCTTGTTTAAAAATTGTACAAAAAACATGCTAGCTAATATTAAGAGCAGTGCAGCAGTGGGTACTGGGACTCTGCTACACCCTTCTAATGCACATGGGGGGGGTTGCTGATTTTACAAATTTTTCTTTTTTACATGAAATCGATATACTTCCTTTTAAAAAAATATCCAGATATTGTCTGTTACCAGAGAGTAAAGTGTACAGCTGAATCACTTTATGTTTCCCTAAATATAGCTCATTTTTTTATCTACTCAGAATTTGTGAATCTGTGGATAAATCATGAGCCACCCATAACTTCAAAATATTTCATTGAATGAGTATACCATATAAATGTTAATTCCATCCATTCCTTTTTATATTACCTTATTGACATTTTCTAGCAAAAAAAAAAATAGTGTTTTCATATATTATCATTTCTGGTAATATCTGTTTTAGATAATTCACCACGTGATTATCGCAGGGACCTCTGTCACAATATCCAAAGCCAGATGTTTTCCTCTCCCTGGAATTGCTAGGATGACACTTGTTACAGCCATGCTGGTTTTGCAGCTCAGCCCTTAGCTTCATGGTGAACAACCTGAAAGAGGTGCTCCTGTGGGATCCTCCTCCCCCTCCCGCCCCTCCTCTGCTTTCTCTCCCCTCCCCTGCCCCTCCCCCTTTCCTTCCAGGTCCCTTCCTCCCTTCCTCCTTTTCCTTCTCTGTCCTCCTCCCCTCTTCCTCTGTCCTTCTCTCTCTGTCCCTCTCCTCCCTCCCTAACCTCCCACATTCCTTTCTCACAACCTAAAACAAAGGGAATTGGAAAATTGCAGCGGAATAATTTTTCCTGAAGAAGCAGAGTGATGGTAACTCAATCCTATCTAGGAGCAGAGCATTACTACAGACCAAGCAGTAACTTACAGAGCTGGCTTTGTAAGCTGTCCGTCTGAACACCGCTGTGTTGTAATCTAAAAGAATTTTATTTTTAAAGATAATGAAATGCAGCCAACAAAGGAGAAAGCTGTGCCGTCCACGTGATCGTTGATTTGGTGGTAGTCTTTAGAGTTACCTACGACCAGTGTAGCAAAAATACGCTGAATTTCTTTGTGATCTTGTACTGAGTATATAATGTCACAAAATACCTCCTGCGTAAAATATTTATGAAAGGCATTGTGGGTTACAGTACTCAGGATGCATTTTCAGTTTAGTGAAACTGCTGCTGCCTTGAGTGTTACTCCTACACACCCACTTCAGTCCAGCTTCCCGACAGCCAGTACGCTCAGCCACGGAGGGCTCCGCTGGGTCTAAGCAACTCTCAGAGATCCAGCGCGGCCATGAAGGTTTGCTTCCTCCACGGGTAAAGACGTAGACAGGGAGCTTTGACTTGTGGAAGGGAATCATAAAATCATCTTAATGTGACTTGCCTTATAAGTTAGGAAAAGTGTGGATATCACATTTCTGTAAATAATGATTTTTATAAAAGTCTTTTCCTTCATGATTTTCCCAATCACCCATTTCACAAAATCTCGAATATGCAAGTCTTTATCATGACACATTTCTGCAGATAGGGTCCCCATTTTGAATCAAGTTGAATCCTACATGTGAGTAAGTTGTTATTGAAATGTGCTTTTTTTTTTCTGGAAAATAAATGAAAATAAATCAAGTTGTGAACCTCTTTTATTGCCAGCCTCTTAAATGTTGATCTCCGTTTCTGGGAAATGTCATTGCCTATTTGTGGGTTGGAGGAGAGGGTACATCAAAGGTCTGGCAAAGGTCAAGGACTTCAGAGCAGAAGAAACCCCAGCTCATAACCAGCTATAGATCTGAGGGAGCCGGTGACACAATGGTCCTCCATTTCTTCATCTTAAAAAAATTTGAATCTTCAGCATCACGTGCCTTGTCCTGTGTGAGAAACCCGAAGTATAAATAAAGGACGAAGTAGGTCACAGGAAATAGTGCAAAGAGCTTTTGCAAAGGGAAGGCATCCCACAGAAGGAAGAAGGGGCAAAGGCAGAGAGGAAAGGGACACAAAATGAATTAAGGTGTGGCGTGTTGTGTGCCAGCTCCCCACCCTGGCTGCAGCCCTTATGTACTGCAAACACTTACTAATGCAAAATAAAAATGTTCCAAGGTGAAAATAAAACTAAAATGGAAATACACAGTAATGCACCAAAAAGTTTTTTAAAATTTGAATAACATGATCCCCAAAGCATGGAGTCATTAGTCCATGACATGAGAGCATTTAATCAGTGTCTTAGCAGTTCCTAGCTACTTCCGCAAGGTACATACGCAATGAGCAACCCTTTCCTGGTCTCACCTTTCTGTGGAAGGGGATTGAGATGGACCAGAAGACTTTAGCGCCCTCCTTCCAGCCCTGTCCTAACTGCTCTGCATGCCGATTGAGACCCTCGGCGGCGCTACCCACAGTGACGCTCCAGGCCCCCTCACTAGGCTGGTGCTGGGGACATTATCTTCTCTCCTCTGCCATGACTGCCCAGGGTGCAAGAGTCTGCAGAGTTTATTTGGTTTGCTCCGCTTTTCCCCTGGGGCCAGGGAAGCTTGCCACGGAGCAAGGAAGGCCCGCGAGTTAGAGCGAGGCTTCCTCCACCAAGCAGCCCCGGGCCGGGGCTTTTGGGAAGGGAAGCGTCCTGCCAAGCGAAGCGAGGCGCCGGACATCAGAGTCTCAGTTTCCTGCAGCTGGAAGGGAAGAACAAGCCTTGCTTCCTAGAGCTGCCTTGACGCAATAAAACTAAGCCTTTTGCAGCAACTGGCAAATGCAAGCTCGCGAAGACTCCTCTCCTCACCCTGGAGGCTGCGGCTCAGGGCGGCCAGGGGGGCGATGTTTAGGGGGTCGCCATGGAGACGGAGGTCGCCTTGGAGACGGAAGGAGCAAGTCTTGCTGGGTCCGGAGCACAGCCCGGTCCGGTGGAGCCGCCTGGCCCGCGGGGCAGCGGTGAGCGGGGCGCCGGGCAGGAGAGGGCGCGGGCGGGGACGCGTGCACGCGTGGCCGGGTCTCTCCGCCGCGGGTCCCGCGCCCTGCCAACAAATCAAAGAGAAAAACAGGGGACCCCGAGTTTGGGGGCAGCCCCTCAGGGTCGCAGGCTCTCACTGTGAGAACTTGGGCTCCGCGGGGCGCAGGGCTGGCGGGACCCGAGCTGCGGGCTGCGGTTGGGGTGCGGGGATCAGGGTGCGCGCGCGCGCACACACACACACACTAATGCTCACACACGTGGGCACCACACAGAGGCTTGCACTCGCACACACGCACACCCAGAGGACCTCACACTCACGCGGACACTCAGAGATACACGCACAGATGGTGCAGACATAGGCGCTCACACACGGGCACACACAGACCCTCGCACTCACACCGCACCGCCTCCGTCCCCTGGGGACTCTGCGCTGCACAGGCCAGAGCTGGTGATTTAGTTCTGATTTCCTATGGGCACAGGGTCTGGAGTTCAGGTTGGGAAATGTCTTAAGTGAACTCCTGGGCAGGAGGCCCAGGGACAGCGGAGTGAGACTGAGCTCTGCAAAGCCCGCTGCCCGTGCCCGCTTTTTAACAAGCATCTGTGAAGGGGGGTGGGACTTCCAGTACACTGCTTCATCAAAGTTAATTCCTATTTGCTCTTTCCAAAAGAAATTACTGTTGCTTAAAGAAGAAAAAAAGGCCCTTTGGGTAAAATGGTTCATTTTAGTTTTTAAAAACAGCGAAGAATACTAGCAAACTTTTATCAAGATTAAATATGGGGGGTCTGGGGATTTAGCTCAGCGGCAAAAGCGCCTGCCTGGCAAGCGCAAGGTCGTGAGTTCGGTTCCGGTACCGGAGAAAAACCAAAAAAAAAAAAAAAAAAAAAAAGATTAAATATGGGAACCACCAAAATAAAGGTTTCTGGTGTGGGGTCATCTTTCTTCCAGGCATGGACATCTTTTTTCCAATTACTTTCTCCCTCTTTGCTAGGGAAGTGTTTCCGCAGCCACTTTGTGTCACCTCGGGTGCACTTTTCAGAGCATCTGATTTCCAAGTCTACTGGCCAGAATAGCAGCAGATGCCGTATACTGCTCTGAGGAACCCCTATTCCTGTCCAACAGGGCGGCAAAAAGTGCCTGCGTTCTTTTATTTGGGGTGTTTTGCTGTTACACCAACTAAAGTGTTTTCAGACCTTCTATTGCTATTTCACAAAATTCTTCTTCCCTACAGCATGACGATGTCAGACAGAGCTAAGGACCTAGCCATGCGTTCACAGAGGAAAACGGGGGTCTCCTCCTCTCTGAGCACCCTCGAGCTCCACGGGAAGGAGATTCAGGGCCACAGCAAAGAGTGAGTAGCTGATGCTGGGGCTTCCGTTCCGTTATGGAGGGGACAGGCTTGTGGAGCTTGTCAGGAGGGAAGCAAATACATGTCCTTCGGGACATGAAAGGGAAAATATACAGGGTTAAATTCAACTTTGGGGCCATATTAAAAATAAGAAAGAGCACTTGCTTAAGTGAAATGTTGGTGCTAGCAGTATTTTTGCTATTTCAAAGACTACCCCAAAGCCCTCGATTCCAGAGAAACACCATGTGCCATGCAGACCAGCTACTTCACAAGATTTCTTGGGTTCTTCCCCTCTATACCATGTAACTACATCATATTACATATGATGTGTGTTAATCCGTATACATGCATATGATGTGTGTTAATCAGTAATCAGTGTATATATGTGTGTTAATATACATGCTATGAGTTAATTGGTATATATACATGTGATGTGTGTTAATCAGTATACGTATATGACGTGTTATTCAATCATCAGCATATACATGATGTGTGTTAAACAGTATATATGGTGTCATACACATATCGTATGTGTGTAAAGTTTTAAAATTTATTACAGGAAAAGATAGATTGGCATGAATCCCCCTCGAGACCCTCTGACTGACCTCAAGCACACTCAACCCACTGCCCCGGCCACGTCCTGCAGCAGCTCTGGAGTCCTTTCCTGAACATCTTCAGTTGCGCTGTTCTGGCTGCCTCGATGTCCTAAATCCATTCAAAAGGTTTCCTGTTGCTGGTCATTCTGACTTTGGGGAGGAGCCGGAAGTCACATGGTGCCAGAGTCAGTAAATAAGTGGATAAGGACACACTGTGATGTCTTTATTTGACGGAAATTACTTCAACATTTTGAATCAGTTCAGGACATCAGGGCAGCTGTGAAAAGACCCTCAGGAAAGACTTCCAGAACTGCTTCAGAAAATGGCAAGAACAGTGAGGTAAGTGTGTCCAAGGTGTGTGGGGGGAGGGTATACATGAGAGATTAACACTAATGTGTCTTTTACTTTAATATTTTTAACTTATACAGTCATCGTACGTTCCGAGCACCCTTTGTACTTAAACAATCTACTTAACATTAATACAAATTTTGTGCTGTATTTTCATAATCTTTCTCTATAGCCTTTTAAATGGCTATCTAATATTTTGTGAATTTATAATGTGGGTTAGTTAACATTCTCCAATTATTGCACAACTTAAGTTTGTTTCCACTTTTTTTCACTATATAGTAACACGACTTGCCTTGGTTATTGCTCGGCAGTATAATTGGTGGGTCAAAGGCACTATTGTTGGCTCTTGCTACATATTGCATTTACTCTCCTGAAGAGGCAAATCAATTTTTAATACTTCCATGGCGCTCTTAAGTAAACAAAGTATTTGGTAGAGCAGTTATGACCTTATATAATAGATTTGCCTTCTTAACAGTCTCAGCAGTGTTGAAGGATGTGACCCTCCTCAGCCCCCCTTCCCTCCCCTGGCTGGGGAACAGGAGTTTCTGGGCGTAGGGAGCAGGAACCTGAAGAAATGGAATAATTAGAACCCTGAACCACGATCTTTCTATTCTCAGAATGTATGAATGCGCTTGCTCACAGCTCCGCTTTCCGGCCCCGGCAGTCTGAGGGTTACACACGCAAGCCCTCTCCGCGGCCGCTGTGGCTGACTTTTAAAATGATTTTTAAAATACTTACTTGCTTAAATTCAATTTACTTGTTCCCAGAAAATACTTAAATAAGAATCTGACATAATGTCCCCATGATTCTCAGAAATGTCTTTGTTCAAAGACTACACTAATATCTTTATTTGCATGGTTTTTGCTAACCTCTTCCCTTTAAAAAACAAATCTGAAAGTCATATAAAATTAGAGGTTGGTTAAGCTTGAGGAATTAGAAGTCACTCTTTCTCCAACTCATTATTAATGTATTATATTTAAAATAATAAAAAGAATCATTTTCTCAACACATTAGAGTAGATGTTTCAATAACACCTATATTTAAGAGGTAATTATTTTGGTTTAGGGCTCTCAAGACGTTCAGAAAGGATCTTCTAACTGCACTTTATTAAACAACAAACAGCTCCCAAGTGCTGAGACCGTCTGCAGAGGCTGACTCTCCCTCACACTTGCTTTCGGTCCTGAGCCGCTCTGTCCCTGTCAAACAGTCCAGCGGTTCTCCGATGCGTGGGTCTTCAGCTGGTGGGAAAACCCCCAAAGCTCAGAAGCAGTCTAGGGCAGGCACCGTTTGAAATTATGGAACAGCGCACTTCTTTCATTTGGAAATCACTGTGACATAATCCCTTCACAGAGATAAACGTCAAGAGTACGAGGTGTGTCTTGAAGTGTATTGAGGACCTGAGACACGGTCTCATTTCATGCCCCCGGCATCAACCCCACTAGGTGGACATCGATCTCACGATTTCACGGTGAGGTTGCAGGCTCACAGGTCCCTTGAGTAGTACCTGGGACACATCCGTGCCACCGTCTGCCTGGCAACCTGCAGCATCCGCCCGTGGTCGCACCCCCCGCTCCCTCAGCGGTCTCTCTCTGGTCTCCAGCCTCTGCCTCAGCTGCTCCTCCACAGTGCAGCGCACTCCTTGCCTGCAGGGACCTTACAGGCTTCCGCCCCCTTTTCCTGTCCCCTCAGAGCTGAGCTTCATCCTCAGCTCTCCAGGGAGCTCTGTAACCATCCAACCACGGACACCTCCACCTCCAAACTGAGGCGGAGCCACTTCTTTCACACCTCTCTCCTTCCCGTCAGCACAGACTTGTATTCGGTGATTGTCTCGCCCGCCTTCCTCAGTCCCTGTGGACTTGCCTGCCTCGATAGCCGCGATCGCGCTGAGCGAGAAGCGAGGCTGTAAAGAGCAGCAGTGGCCTGGTGGGAAGCTGCTTCTCGGACGTAGCGTGCGACCGGCACGGACTCAGCCTTTCTCTCTTGGCTCCCACGTCTCCCGTCTTCTGCAGTCGCATAGCAGCGACCCCAGGCACCACGGACACCCGTGTGCCTTCTGAACTGTGCCAGGAAGGCTGAATGTAGACAGTCATTGTTTTCAAGACTGGGTCTTTTCTTCTCAGTTATATATTTACTATCATGTAATTTTCGTGATCATTAAAGAATAAAATAAGCATCCTAAGGTAGCTCTTTTACCCCACCATCATAACTATGGGCATGTTGGCATATTTCTTTCTATACCTACCTAGTCATCTCCCTCCTGCATGTGTAAATGTGAGTTGTGTTTTTTGCTTAAACGATTGATAGTAATAGAGATGGTAGCTGCTAGCATCCATTGTGCCCTTGCTCACTCGTGGGCTCACTCGTGCCTCCTAGAAACTCCTGCTATCGAGATCAGCAAGCTACGGCCAAGTGCCAAGCACGGACTGCCACCTGCTTGGAATTGCCCTTCACTAAGTATGGCTTTTGCATTGCTGAAGAAAAGAAAGAAGAACATCATTTTGTATCATGTGAAAAATTATAAAAACTTCAATTTCAGTGTCCATAAATAGAGAAGAAACAGAACTTTAGACAGGTGAAGGCTCAAAGGTTGAACTAGCGAGGAGGGAAAAAAGGCTTTTGTTCCTCAGCCAACCAGCAATCCTTGTGCATTAATGAAACTATTCTATTTATTTACCAGAACCTTCTGCTTCCCAGCCCTGGGTCAGAGCAGGTACTGACAATGACATCTTTCTTGCTGGAAGCTCAGCCTCTGGCAGACACAGAACAGTGAATAGGTGAGCTTCTCTTGTGTTCTCAGAATGGAAACAGAATCCATGGGTTAAGTGACATCCCCAGAAGGATGTGACATGATACGCAGCCTTGTTATCCCTGAAGCCAGCAGCTCCACTAGCAGGTCAGGGTGAAGGTCGGAGGCTGAGGCGTCTCTCTTTTACATCACACCAGCGGGTGGTGATGTCATGTAAACAGAACTCCCTGGACGGACCCCTCTCCACCTGGATCTGTTCACGGCAGCTAACACACTAGGGGGGCCACACCATGTGCACTTTCCAAACTTGTTCAAGATTGAGGGAGCGTCTGCCGTTTCCTACGACTGTGCCACATGGTGAGCACACAACGGTGAATAACTGCGGTGTTCTGACGGCAGGAAACTCGTTTCCCACCAAAGCGAGAGCCGCCGGTAACTTCCTCAGTGTGGGCCGGGTCTTTCCACTGGAAGTAACCAGAGTGGAGAGGACTGTGTCCAGCTCTGCACCCTAAGCATTCGGAACCACGCAGGAGCCCCCACTTTGCAGCGTTGAAACTCTGGTGGGAAGGACAAGGAGCAAGTCTTTTCTTTTTTTTTTTTGTCTTTTTGAGACAGGGTCTCACTATGCAGTTCAGGCTGGCCTTGATCTCACTTTGTAGCCCAGGCTGGCCTCGAACTCGCAACGATCCTCCTGCCTCAGCCTCCCGAGTGCTGGGATTACAGGCATGCACCACCATGCCCGGCAAAACAAGTCATTTTAAATGCAATGAACTCATTCCATGATTCCAACCAGTAGTACCGCAAGTCGCTCCCAGGAAGTGAGAGTGACGTTGCCGGGCCTGTCTCCCCATTTTGATACCTGAGGATGAGGCAAGTGGTCTGAGCCATGCCGGGGTGAGTGATACTGCCTCCTACATCACACTAAAGCCCTAATGAGAACTGGCTAAGGTGCAACTTCCCCATAGCGGGAGAAGCCAGGGCAGGCCGAAGTGGCTGTGTTTCCAAATTAAACCACAATCATAGCTCGTCTTGTTATTAAAACATTTCACACATGATACCCACGGGCTTCTTAGAAAAATCCCAGGAGAAGATACAATATTCCTGTTTCTTTTTATAAATGAGAAAATGATGCATTTTTCATGGATCACATTGGGAGAAAACTGGCTCACAATGCAGAAGAATTGAAATGGGTCCCGCGGGGGCCCGAGAGCTGAGGCGGGCTGCAGAGGAAAAACTGCAGTGTGGGGAGCTCGAAAGCCGGCAGGGCAGAGCAGGGAGGATCTGTGTTCTGGGGAAAGAGCAGGATCTTCAGC